CTGCTAAATTTAAGGCAATTTTAGAAAAGAAGAATCTTTAGGTATTTTTATTTTTTTCATCACTTACTGTTCTCTTAAAATAGAGAAATGAAAAGATACTAAATTCAAAGCTACGGTATTCTGTAATTGTAATGAAATCTTGTAACTAAGGAGTATCATGCCAGGTTTTTCCTCCAAAAATTTCTGAATTGTCACGGTATTTCTGTGGTGGTGTGCTGTATCAAATGACACATAAGGAGCTTAAACACATTCTTGGAAGGTTTTCTTAAAAAAAAAAACCCTCTTAAATTTCTAACTGCATAAAGGAAACAATGACTTTACATCTTATAAATGTTTCTATGGACAAACAATGGGGTAAGAATGCAACTGAGTTTCCAATACTTTTAGAAAATTAGTTTTTATTGAAGTCAGAATCAGTCAGGTTGGAAGGGACCACAGTGGGTCATCTGCTCCAACCTTCCTACTCAGGCAGAGCCATCCTAGAGCACATGGCTCAGGATTGGTCATGTGCTCAGGTTCTTGAATAGCTCCAGTGAGGGAGAATCCATGACCTCTCTGGGCAATCTGTTCAGTGCTCAGTGACTGCACAGGAAAGAATTTCTTCCTCGCATTCAGGTGGAACTTCAAGTACATCAGTTTTTGCTGTTACCTCTTGTTTTATGGGTTTCCACGAGTTATAGGAGCCTAGCTCCATCCTCTTGGCACTTCCCATTCATGTACTTGTATACATTAATGAGGTCCCTCTCAGTCATCTCTTCTCAAGACTGAAGAGGCCCATCTCCCTCAGCCTTTCCTTATAGGTGAGGTGCTCCAGTCCCTTCATCTTCCATTGCCCTCCGCTGGACGTGCTCCAGGAGCTCCATGTCCCTCTGGTCCTGGGGAGTCCAGAACTGGACACGATACTCCCGTTGTGGCCTCATGAGGGCTGAGCAGAGACACAGGATCACCTTCTTAGACCTGCTGGCAATGCTTCTCTTAATGCATCCCAGGATTCCATTGGCCTTCTTAGCCACAAGGGCACATTGTTGACTCATGGACAGCCTGTTGTTACCTTCTCAGACCTGCTGGCAATGCTTCTCTTAATGCATCCCAGGATTCCATTGGCCTTCTTAGCCACAAGGGCACATTGTTGACTCATGGACAGCCTGTTGTCCACCAGGACCCCCAGGTCTTTCTCTGCAGAGCTGCTCTCCAGCAGGTTAGTGCCCAGCCTGTACTAGTGCTTGGGTTATTCTTCCTCCTTATTCTACTCCTTGCTCTTGTTTTTCTTACTCTCATGTACCTTTGGTCTTTAAGCTACTACTACCATTTCTGTGAATGTTTTGGGCCTACCCTGCTTAGCATCAGTAGGGTGCTGATAGTAGAGTTGCTTGCAGGGAGGTTTCCCAATCTAGGGTGAAACCCCACAAGCATGGAGGTGTGACTATCTCAGTTAAAGCACCAAAATTAGTGTTAACACAGAAGGATATAACAAGGATACTAAAAACCTTTCAAGCATGCTGCAGAATTACTCAATATTTTTGTTTAATAAGCTTGGGGAAAGGGTCAGAAAAGATGGGCTGTGAAAAGCTCCCCGAACAAGAGAAAAACACTTAGCAGGAATATAGTAACTTTCCCTGCCTTGACAGTGAGTTGAACTGTAATGAAGCCATTAGTTGCTTCAGTAATGTTATTAACATCTGCTTTCCTTTCAAAATTTGTTTATCTTGGTTTCTGGTTAGGCAATCCCTAGATGCTGGTAGAATTCTGGTATTAGAAATGTTACCTGCTACTTATTTCATTCTTTTTTTACCTCCCTTAGATTCTATTACAGAACTTTGTAGGAAGATTTGTGAAACTCTCAGAGGGCAAGTTTGTTGTTGGTATAAAAGTATTCATGGCTGAATAAATCAGTTGATGGTAGGATGTTGCCTGAGAGAGGGGAAAGAGCTTGTGCAACACACAATCTGTTGAAAATATCCCTACTGGAAGCTGGCAGAGAGATATGTTTTAGTGTTCTGATCCAGATTTGCAGACTTTGCAGAATCAAAGTGTTTAGTGATTCACAGGCAACATGTTGCCTCTAATGATGCCTTTACCAAGACTATTTACGTATTTGTGTATGTGGATGCAGAAAGCTATAGCTAAGAGATAGTAATGAAAGTGAATGTTCAGCATGGTGAAGTGTGGTAGCTGTCCTTGTATTTTTGCAGTTCATTGTAGGTTGGACTGTAAGTATAAGCATCAAGCAAAATGTCTGATACTTCAAAGAGGGGCTGTGCAAGTCCTCTCTGTAAGGTATTTGTGGTGAATTTTTAGATCATTGAAATCTATCCATTTGCTTGGCTTTACAAGAGAGAAAGCTGTTATCACTTTTTTTTTTATCCAGTGTAATAACATGAGGAAAAAACCTGCATTTAGTGTTACCTTGTCAGTCTGATCTCTGTGTCTGAATGTGCTCTGTTCATTCTGAGCAGCTTTAAACCGGTGGGAATTTCAGTCTCACAGCTGATTGTCTCCAAGTGACACAATGCTTGAAATAAGTATGGATTACAAAGAACGTTTCATATACCCTGCAGGAAAATTACAGTTTTTCAATTTAATGGGGGAGGAGGGTTTATGATGTTCTGTGTGTTCTCACTCCTGAGCACTACAGAGCTGTAAATTTCTGTCTGATAAGTAACACACTGAAGAAGAGTATAAGTCAAAGCATACAAATTTCCAATTCATTAATATGTATATAAAATAATCCATGATAAATGCAATGATGAAATATTTCCTTCTGGATACCAGGGAAACAATACAGTATTGTCACCCTGTTGATCATGGATGTGCCTCAGACCTGTGATCTCTTGCCCACAGTGCAGTGTTTTGCCCAAGTTATTGCTAAACATCAGGAATACCAAATCTGTTTTCTCAAGAAAACTGTTAAGGACACAGGAACACCTGTATAAAATTTGTATTACTACAGAGAGGTATTGAAATTCTAAACAAACTTACCTGGAAAAAACATAAATATTAACAGCCCAGGAGTACCATTTAAGACTGTTTATTTCTCAGTAAAAATACATTTCAAAACTTAGCATTTAGAAATAAGGGTGATCGTAGATCATATGGTGCCTGTAAGTAATCCTATTACTATGTAATGGCATGTTAGTTGTTCCAGGTTATGTTGTATTGAACAGAATCCTGGATAGAATCATAGAATCATCAAGGGTGGAGGAGCCCTCTAAGATCAGCAATTCCAACCATTACCCTGCCGCTCTGCTGGAAGCCCTAAACCAGATCCTCCAGTGTCAGATCCAGATGCCTCTTAAACACTTCCAGGGATGGTGATTCCAACACCTCCCCAGGCAACCTATTCAAATGCCTGGCCACCCAAACAGGGAACACGTTGTTCCTAGCATCCAATCTGACTTTCCTGTCTCAATTTATGGCCATTCCCTCTAGTCCTCTCCCTGCAGCCATGGCAGGAGAGACCATCGCACACATCTCTACAACCCCCTGTCAGGTTATTGTAGAGAGCCACAAGGTCACCTCTGAGCCTCTTCTCAAGGTTAAACAAACCCAATTCCCTCAGCCCTTCCTCACAGGACATGTTCTAGACCGTTTCAGACCTCGTTGCCCTTGGCTGCACTCACTCCAGAGCCTCAATGTCCTTTTTAACGTGAGAGGCCTAAAACTGATCACAACACTGGAGGTGTGACCTCACTGGGGCCAAGTACCGAAACAAGTTGGAGCTACAGCAGTTATAGCAAAAGACACTGCTGCAGCTTATCAAGAGTTTGTTTCACAACTTGCATTTGGCAGACTGATTTGTCATCACTGGTGTTCTTCTATTTGCTATTAGACCTTTAGGTCCTATATTGATGTGTCTTTGCCTATCCAATAGAATTATAATATTGTTCAAAGAATTAATCAGTCTTTAGAAGAAATGCAACTTTCCTGGGATCAGTGAAAAGATAGGGGGTTTTAATAAAATAATTCAATGCTTCTGGTTTATTTCCTGATATTGATTTGTGCATCTGCTTGAGGTCTCTCTTTATCTAACTCTCATATTTTGTTTTTTCCTGGATATGATTAAAAGCCACAAAAATTTTACTTTAAAATTTAGATGAATTGCTTTATTTAGTATTGCTGGGCAACAATTCCTCTGTTATTTCTCTATTAAAATAATTTTTCAGGGTTTTTTTCTTGTTTGGGTTTTGTTTTGTTTTAATTTTCAGTCTTTTTCTGTTATCTAGGAGTAGTGATTATAAGCACAAATTTAGAGTACTAGTCTTGAGCTGTAAATAACTATTGCTATCTGTGCTATAATGAAAATCTCCTTTGAAGATGGTGAGGGTGTTTCAATTATATTTGTGATTGCTTGCATGAAGGTGAAATATGTACTCAATTTCTTGCAGCAAGGATAGCTCTTTTGATATTGATTGAAACATTTACAGGGCAAGAGATGTAAATATAGCTATAGGAAAGCTCTGCAACAAATTAAAAACTCTTCAAATCAGGTAAAGAAGAGGAAAATAAATCCTCATTTGAAAATTCTTATACTAAATAAACCACTAATTTTTGATAGTAAGAGCACATACCACTAGAACTAAGGGTCATGATGGCTCTTACATCTCATGGAGGATCTCTTAGCTTTAGTTAGTTATAGGGTAATTGACTGAGTTACAAGAAATTTGGTGAAATTTAGAGCTCTGGAAATTCTTGGTTTCCCTGGCCTTAAAATTTGTGTGTTCATGTATTAGTCTTCACAGGGTTAGTGGTTAAAGTGCTAGTGTCCAAAGTGCTGGCACTTACTAAAGATCAAATCTTCAAGTACCTGTGGAAGGAATATACGAAATTGCTCATGTGTAATTACTAACAATTTCAGAAATTTTCAATTTCAGAAGATTTTAAATATTATTTGGAATTCAATAATAATGATGCCAGTAATTTTAAAGTTTGGGAAAATACTTTTGTATCTAGATGCCAGCTGTACTGCTGCTGAATGCATATTTTTTATTCTTTTTTGACAGTCTTGTTAAACATGGGGATATGTGCTTGGATGCAGATGAATGTCCCTGTTCATGGAAAGGAAAGGAATACTTTCCAGGTGACAAAGTAATTTCTTCCTGTCATACATGGTAAGAAGAGATCTATTTAAGTGATTATTTCATTTTAGTTTTTTTCCTTCATGTGTTTTAATCATGCATTTCACAGCAGATTTTGGTAAATCATCTACCTTGATTTTTGTATTTACATTTCTTCAAAGAGCTGCTAAAATGACATTGGTTTAGGGTTTGTTGTTTCAAGGATTTTTTTAGAAAACAAAATAATAGCTATTTGGGATTTTCTTACTTTTTAAAATAAGCTTGATTTAGAAAAATAATTCTTTTACTATCAAGGTCATCTTAATTAATAATCCATTGTTAGTGTTCATAAAGTACAGGTAAAATCCTCATATTAAACCTGAGTGACACTTGTTAAAGCTTTTTATTTATTCATTTTCACATTTAGCATTGCATCTGAGCAGTCTAAGGACCCAAAACATAACCCTGTGGCCATAAGCATACACCCACTACAATGATAAATTAAGGAGAGTACTGAACAACATCATGTGCTGAGCATAGTAACAGATAAGTTGCTTGCTAATTTTGCATGTGCGGATAACTGATGAATCAATCAGCTTTAAAAGGAGGTGTTCAAGTAGGCAGGGGTTGATAGGATCACTCAAATACATGCAGAAACTTATTCCTTTTCATATCCAGTGTTGTAAATGCAGCATATACCCTATAGCTGTGTTACCCCACAAAGTTTCTTTGAGCACTCTCAGTAGAATGTGTTACACTATCATTTTAATAAGCTTCACAAAAGTGTGAAAATATAACACATAAATGTTTGAGGCTGAAACAAACTTGTTTCTTGATGGTCCCCACCATTTTTCTTCTCTGACCACTATTGAACATTTCAAGCTGGCACTAAGCAGCACGGTGTTTGTCTTATGGGAGCCTCAGAAAATCAGCTGTACCATCAGGCATCGAGATGCTATGGCAGTGGTGTAGCCTCCAAATTCTCAGTAGAGCAGTTCCTTCCTTTTGTCCCCATCCTGTAGCTTACCAGGAACATTTAACTGACATCACCTGGTGAACTACTGCTCCTGGCCTGCACAGCTCAGTATAGCCTAGCAAAGTGAAGGCTTGTCCAGTCAGCACTAGTCACTGCCTTGTCTGGATGTCATTGCCCCCTCCAGCCTTGTGCTGACTGCCTACCTCTGCCTCTCGTCAGGTCCTCAGTATCTGCTCTAGAAGAGATTTGTAGCCCTTTGGTCGACTGGTGAAGCGACTTACAAGCCATCTCCACTGGGCAGGCAGGTAAAGCGACCCGGGTTATTCACCCCCTTATTTCCAAAGGCCTCTCCATTTGGACCTGGTGTGGGATTGCTTGCATCAGAGAGAATTATATCCCATTTAATCTGTAGGAGACTTCACCAAAGGCAGCAGCAGTGCAGGCAGAAAGACACTGGATATTTAGCCTTCTCTCTTGTTCTTTGTTGGTTTTTTTCCCCCTGAGGCCAGGCTCATTAATGCATGTACAAATCCTTAAGGTTGTCATGGCTTTTCTAGTCTTCCATGTCCAGAAGCAAAGACAGATTAAGCAGTAATGTCTTTTTGAGAATCAGTTGTCCACTGACAGATGGGAGTCTGCAACAAGCTCTGCTTTTAGAAAGTGCATAAAGCCTTTGAGTCTGCTGTGTGTGTATACAGGGGTGTATCTGATAAGGGAAACGTGCAGAGCATGAGAATGCTTCTGTGCGAATAAACCCATTTAGGCACTCACACCAGTTACAGTTTAGTGGTTGTTCCTGCACAGAATTAGTGTAGGTTATTACTAATTTCATCTTACTCATATCTGATGTAGCATTAGCTACATAACTATTAATCTGAGTTGTCTATTGAACAGTAAAGTGGCAAATAAAACAATTTCTTAAGCTGACAGAACTATCAGTGAAGTGCCAGGAACTTTCAACCCAGGCTCTGTATTCTGACTGAACTGTGGTTCTAAGTTCCCCAAGTTTTGTTTTCAGTGCAAGTGCCTGAAATTTTTAGCACGTGCTGGTGAGAGAAAACAAAAAAGTTCTTAGACTGAGGGTGTCAGAGCAGGATTTTGGTGCTGTGCTGTACAAGGTAAGATGGGTGGTGCAGTTAGCTATGCTGGTTTGCTGTCATATGTCGAGACTATTGAGCAATTGCTGGTTAGTCTCTGTGGGCTGCTGAATTTGGCCTCTTGTGTTCTTAAACAAATTCTTCCTGGAAATACTCTTTTATAAAAAGCTAGTACAAGTTTGAAAGGTGCTGGTAGCTCTGCTTTTCCAACCAGGGCTCTCTAGATTCTGATAACTGAATGCAAGTTCACTCATTATGAAACAAGCCTGTTGCAGAGGACTTTGAAGACGTTGTGTAGCTCTTAACTCCTTCCTTCTGACTGTAAACATGTTAAGACTCCGGAAAAAAAAAAAAGGAAATTATGCAAAGGAGATCCCTGCTCTTTGTGTTAAGAAATGTTTCTGCATGAGTCCTTAACAGACCAGCATGTGGAGGAGGACTTGAATAGGCCAAGAGTAAAACTAAACCTAATGTCTCACAGAAAACATAAGAAGCAGGACTTAGTGTTTCAGTCCAAATATAATTTATTCTATTTGCCTTTTTCTCTGTCAGCTTGACTATGTTGCTGCCTTAGGTACTGCTTTAAGGTGACTAGAGTTATCTGTGTGAGCTCTTCTGCAATCTACTTGTGCTCTGATACAGCAAACACTTTTCACATGTTGTATTTTTAGCTTACTTTGGCCATGTGCTTAGTGTATTTATATACATAGTTACACAATGCACAAGCTGTGGGCCAAATCGATGTCAGGATAAACAGAATCTTGGAAAATCTGGACAGTGACTCTATGTTGGCACAAGTTACCTGATATGGGAACAGGAGGAAATCTGATGCTACTAGTAGTTAGAGCTGCCTAGATTTTCTAGATATTTGCTGCTCTTTTGAAAACAGTGGTGTTCAGTTATCATGATAGCAATATGAACAGAAAAGTTACACTGACAAAAAATTTATACTGAGAAAAGACTTCATACCGTTTGGTGCCTCAGTATATGAGATGTCAAAATGTTAGTGATTTATCCAATGCTTCCATAAGTCAGGGCAATAATTTTACTTTTAAAATGCAAAGCATTCATGTAATGCAGAAATTAAAAATAAATTTTTTTTTAAAAATGAACTTAGGTACAACTAGAATTATATCACATGCTGTATTTGGTTTGAACTTATATTTATAAATATACCTGTAGTGAAGCCATACCAGGGCACCAGCTCTGTTATCTTTATCAGGGAAGTTTTATAAGTGTCCAGGTCATTGAGAAACATAAACATAGCTTTTTACAGATTTCTTGAGGATACAATGAAACTCTTCCCATTCTTTATAAAGCTCATGTCATTTCTGAAAATGTTCTTTAGTTTTCAAGAAGGTGATGCAGAAAGAGGCATAATATTCAGTGCTGCAAAACCTCATACAAAGCTAAGGGAGTTCAGCAAGGTCTGAACAGTCACTTACTATATATGTGGTGAAAGCACTTTAATGTCTAAGGTGGCCATAGACAGAACTTGAACTGTTCTGGAAGGCCTAAACTGCTAGGCTAGGGGTTGGAAGTGATAATAAGTAGGTATTTGGGAAAAAAATTAGTTCCTACAACCCAAAACATAGTTCTTTTAAGGAACCTAAGCACCAAAATAATGCTGCTGAAATGTTTGCTTTGTGATTCTGTGAAATTCACATTCAAGCAGAGAATGCACAAAGACTGTAGTAACAGGACATGTTACTTGTTGATTCTAAGATTCAGCTGGTATAGAAACAAATCTTAAGTGAAAAGATGAAAAAGGGAAGATATATCCTCACGGTATGTTGTTGATGTGCCACTAGAGGAAAAAAATGGTATTATTTTGGGAGTTTTTTGGGGTTTTTAAAAATTGTTTTATGCAGCATATAAATTCTAACAGATGAAGAAACAGACGGCGTGAGTTCAATATGTACCTTTTTTTCCTCAGAGAATCAACTGCTGCTTCTAGCCAACATCTCAAAATGCTTCTGTCCACACCTGCCACACTTGCATGGCTTTTGGTTTTTTGCTTATCAGTGTAATAGCTGTAGTAATTTGTCTGGGCTTGCAGTTAATATTGCCATTATTGGTCATACATTTTTCAGTGTTTGCCAGCATGGATCATTTCAATGCACCTTCCATCCTTGCCCATCAATGTGCACTGCGTATGGGGATCGGCATTACAGAACATTTGATGGACTAACTTTTGACTTTGTTGGAACTTGTAAGGTTTACCTAGTTAAGGTGAGACTTTTATTGTACAGCCTCTCTAAAACTGGACTTAAGAACTGTCTGTTAAAATTGCCCATCTATTTATTTCCTTTTTTCTTTTTATTGAGTCCTGCAAACCGGTTTTTAATCGTTGATGTTGTTTACACTTTGAATCATATGTAACGTAATAAATATATGGAGGTTTCTGCTAATTAAACCATGTAACAATATACATACTTATATTAGTATATTTAAAAATGGCCTATTCTTTTTTTTCTGTTCTTTAGAGTACTTCAGCCAGTTTTTCTGTTATGACAGAGAATGTTGACTGTTTTAGCACTGGAATCATTTGCAGAAAAAACATTTTCATCAATGTTGGAAAATCGGTTTTAGTATTTGATGATGAGACTGGAAATCCAGTAAGTTTCAGTTTTAACCAGTGGTCGAAAAGTAACTGATGTACTTCTCTGGGTTTTTCTTTTTCCTTTCACTGCCAAAGACTTACTGTACTACTTCAGTAGCACAGGTGTAACGATCTTTACAGTGAATACTGATGACATCTGGATAGTTCAATGGAAACCTTAATCAAAATCTTATCTGTATTTGACAAAAATATTAGATCAAATGTATCAAGTGCAGTGTTGCATCAGGGCTAGGGAGGTGATCATCCTTCTGTACTCGGCACTGGTGAGGTCACACCTGAGTGCTGTGATCAATTTTGGGCCCTTCACTTTAAAAAGGACACTGAGGTGCTGGAGTGAGTCCAGCCAAGGGCAACAAGGTCAGAAAAGGTCTAGAACACATCATGTGAGGAAGGGCTGATGGAATTGGGTTTGTTTAGCCTGGAGAAGAGGCTCAGGAGTGACCTCATGGCTCTCTGCAACTCCCTGACAGGAGGTGCAGCCAGGTGGGGGTCAGGCTCTGCTCCAAGGGAACAAGGGACAGGACAAGGGAAAACAGCCTTAAGGGACACCCAACACCCTGTGGAGATCAGCCCCCAGGGGACCCCCACACCCGTCAGGGCAACACCCACGAGGGATCCACA